GTTCAAGTCAGCTGTTTAACTTTGAGAGACTTGCTAAAAAAAAAAAAAAAAAGGTGAATAAGGTGAATAATTATTCTATGCTATTTACACCAATAAAGAAAAACTGTTTTCAGTTTTTGTTTTTAAAAATTCTTTATTTATTGAACATTTACCTACATGAATAGAAAAGTAATTAATAGGTAAATAATTGTCAAGAAAAAAATTGACTTACACCAGTTCTCAAACTGTGGTACGTGTACCACTAGTGGTACGCAGGCTTCCTTCTAGTGGTACGCGGATGAATCAAATATGTAATATGTACATGCTACATATATTTAAAGAAATTATCAAAAATGATTTATATACGAATATGATGACATAAAGCCTATATTTATGAGGTCTAGGCAACATTTCCAGGTGCTAACAAACCAGGAGTTATTTCTTTTTTAAACTGTACAGAGCTTAAGCTGCTTTACTAGACCTAATACGCTACTGTATTTCAAAACTGCTCATTATGGTGGTACTTGCAAAGACAATTTTTTTCCGAGGTGGTACTTGATGAAAAATGTTTGAGAACCACTGACTTACACAATAGGAAATAAAAATACAACAGAAGTCAACGTTTAATCAGGTTTTCAACATTCTTCAAAATATCTTCTTTTGTGCTCAACAGAACAAGAAAAACTCAAGCATGAGTTCATGACGGCAGACTTAGGTGAACTATCACTTTAAACAGAGCAGTTGGAGATAGTCTCATCTATCACTAGATCAACTATAAGCATTATTCATGAGGTCATCCAAAAACAAATTGCATCAGATGTCAGGTGACTCCTTGCTAAGGTCTCGCTCTTCATTTCGCACATTTCCTGGATCTACAGCTGGCTCTTGCTTTTGGTTTAACACCAAGGCCACCCAGCCCTGCTCACCAGAGCCAGCTCAGCCGACAGAACACAGCGATCGGGCCAGACAGAGAGTCAGCATCAGCATTCACACGTAACTCTTCAGATCCCAACCAAACACTGGAGCTCAGCCCAGAGAATGTCACCTACAGCTGGAGAACAGGACGGGCTATCTGCAGGTTTTATGACGGTACATTTTGAAAGAGCCTTTTTAAAATGAAGGGGATTGAACACAGCAATAGGTTGAGAACCACATATGTCTAGCGCGAGCATGACAAGTTGTATTTATAGCAACATTTCAAGGTTAAAAACACAAAGAAAACTATCTGATTTGCTTTTCTGATGTGCTTATTTCACTTAAAGTATGAAATTATTCGTGAATAACTTTTACCTTCTGATCAGACCCATTTTATACAATGTGGTCATGAACATTTGTCACGATCACCAGCAATCTACAACCAGAAATCACTGGTAAACACTCATAAGCATTAATGTACTACAAATCTGCCATTTCATGGACTACTACTCCATACATGCACTCCGCTCACACACACATGTTCCAGATCCTGACTGATTACACTCTCACAGCTGAAGCTGCTCACAGACTGATTACTTGGACTAGAAGAACACCTCTCAAACACACAGTTGTTGCAGTCTTGTTAGCTCTTTAGTGACATTACATCACAATTTCCTTGCCTTGACTTCCGTGTTTTGAACCATTGCTTTGTTTTGTTTGATCATTTCTGTATGCTGCCTGCCATCTGACCATCTGCCTGCTATTTCGACTACGACTCTGGATTGCCCTCATACATCTGTTTGCTCCTGTGTTGATCATTGCTTGCCTGACTATCCTGTCAAGAAAGCCCTGCATTTGGATCCTCACCCCTGTTGTCAGTGTCACATCCCCTGGTTACAGCTTGCTTCAGTATAATAATAATAATAATAATAATAATTCAGTATAATAATAATAATAATAATAATAACAACAATTCAGTATAATAATAATAATAATAATAATAATAGTAAGTAAAATAATAATAATAGTAATAATAATAAGTATAATAATAATAATAATAATAATATTAATTCTGTATAATAATAATTATTATTATTATAATAATAACAATTCCGTGTAATAATAATAATAATAATAATAATAAGTAAAATAACAATAATAGTAATAATAATAATAAGTATAATAATAATAATAATAATAATTCTGTATAATAATAATAATAAGTATAATAATAATAATATTAATTCAGTATAATAATAATAGTAAGTATAATAATAATAATAATTCTGTATAATAATAATAATAATAATAATAATAATAATAATAATTCAGTATAATAATAATAATAAGTATAATAATAATAATAATAATAATTCTGTATAATAATAATAATAATAATAATAATAAGCATAATAATAATAAGTATAATAATAATAATAACAATAATAATAATAATTCCGTATAATAATAATAATAATAAGTAAAATAATAATATTTGTAATAATAATAATAATAATAATAATAATAATTCTGTATAATAATAATAATAATAATAATAATAAGCATAATAATAATAAGTATAATAATAATAATAATAACAATTCATTATAATAATAATAATAAGTATAATAATAATAATAATAATAATAATAGTAATGATAATAATAATAATAATTATTATTATTATTATTTTTATTATTATTATTATTATTATTATTATTATTATTATATTATTATCACCTCCAGAACTGACGTAAGCACCTAAGATCCACCTCCAAAAGCCACAACATGTTAATTGCGTTTCTTTTTCTGAGGCCACTGTGGCTTCTCCTACTGCATAAAACTACATTTTTATATTTGATATTTGGCGCTAGTTTATCAGTAAGTGATGATTTTGACTCACTGAATGGAGGCAGTGCTTTATTAGCAAATGTTTAATGCAATATTCACAACATGTTACACAATGATGAACTGTCTGGTCAGTAGGCGGTATTTTGAGGCTGTTCGACCACATTCAACCACATGTGCGGTCACACTGGTAGAACAATTAGATCGAATGTGTTTTTAAAAGTGGACAGGCTCAAAACGTTTCAGACCCTGTTCACACCTGTACCAGGAAAATGAATCTTAATACTAGGGGCCCTATCATACACCCGGCGCAATGTGGCACAAGGCGTGGCTTAGTACTTGTTTGCTAGTTTTAGCTTGGCACAAGAGTCGTTTTGAGGCGTTGCGCCAAGCTCTTTAAATAGCAAATGCTTTTGCGCTCATATGTGCACCCATAGGCGTTCTGGTCTAAAAAGGAAGGCGTTCTGAGGCGCACTGCTGGCGCGTTACTATATTTAGAAACTAAAATAGATTTTTTATTAGACCAAAACAAACCCGGTCTAAACTCCTGCACAGAGTTACGCCTCGCTTACACACTGCTTAATAGCCTACACACAAGACGTAGAGCAATAAGCAAATATCTTTACAAATTAAATATTAAGGATAAGCCTATTTATAGGATATAATAAGAATATATATAGGATATAAAAATAAAGAATTAAAATATTACAAAACATATTATTTTCTAGCCTACATAAATATAAAAAAACACATTTTTTTGTCTTCTTCATCTCGGGAGGCTTTTTCAGTTCATTCATAACAATTTGCTTTTGTATAATGCTATTATTATTATCAGTATGATTTATTATATGCATATTAATATTTGTTTTATTAAAAACAAGCTTAGATTTGCCCACCTGTCAGGTTTTAGACCATATGGGGCACAGCATGTGTTTTAGGATATAACTCAGGTTTTTGAGCACACTTCGTTATTATTGTTGATTTATTCGTTCGCTGGAAATTAGAACTGAATTTAGAAATAGTTCTGAAGCAAACGAAATTATTTATAGGCTAATTGGTGTCTGTGCGTAAAGGTTTCCCTTTGTGAAAGTGAAAGCAGATCATTTATCTCTCTTTCTTGCACGGCAGATGCTCTGTTTAACAGATTTCTGTAAAAAAAAAAAAAAAACTGTTAACTGTTTGCTAGTGAAATGCTCAGTTTTTCCACTTCCACTTACTTCACGTTCTGTAAATAGCAAATGCGCTTATGGCGCGACGCTGCTGACTCTTAAAGGGAATGGGAGATAAGACTCTAATTGGTTTATTCTCAAAACACACCTATAACTCATTAGGAAAATAAACTCAACCCTTTTAGAAGCGGATTTTCTCATCCTTAAATTAGCAAACATGGATTCTGACACGCCCTGAAAGCGTTTGCGCCACTGCGCTTTCCGTTTTGCGCACGGACCGTCAAAATAGAGCCGTAGGTGTGCACAGGGCCTTTAAAATCAATGTTTCCATCCAAAGATGCAGTGTTGTCAAACCAAAAAAAAGTGTTGTCAAACCAGTTGCAAAAGTTTCGTGGCCCTCGGACATCAATAAATCAAAATTAAACCAGCGGTTTACAGCATTTTTTTTTATTTTGTTTAAAACAAAACAATAGTTTTAAAATAAATGCACCCGAGCTATTACTTCAACCGAAAGACAAAGTGAGAAAATGTGTTCTACAGGAAAACGGCTCCATTCGCTCGATAACACACCACTTGCTTCGAATGGTGTTGGTTATTTTAGAAGAATGTGCTGTAAATACTGGGAGCAATGAACACTTTGGGATAGCAGTGATCCCAGTCAAAAAAGGCCCAACTTTTCAAAGCAACCCCGCACTAGAAATACCAAATCCAATTAGGTTTTATATATATATATATATATATATATATATATATATGTATATATATGTATGTATATATATATACATACATACATATATACATACATATATATATACATACATATATATATACATACATATACATATATATATATATATATATATATACACATATATATACATATATACATACATATATATATATAAATATANATATATATATATATATATATATATATATATATATATATATACATACATACATACATATATATATAATATATATATATA